GGGGAGGAGGCCTTCGACGAGTACCCCGTATAGCATTAATCCGATTCCATACATAAGAGGGTGACGACTGGAATGATAAAGACCCCGTGAAGGATAGCCAGTCCGCCTCACGAATCCGACGGCGCTCCTGAGTTGCAGAAGAGCATCAATTTTTTAAGTCTTCCCAGTCCTCTGGAGAGCGAGACCTCCGTATGGCAGAGTGGAGATCACGGGTTAGCTGACGGAGATGTCTCATGGCAGGTATACGATACCAGTAGTTGGTCGCACTTCTGGGGTGACGGGGAGGGCGTGGAGCGGTAGCGCGATTGACAGAGTCATACACGGCATCAACAAAATCAGCGCTGTAAGAGTCAAGGGACTGGGGGACAAAATAGGAATCCGCCCAGGTAGAAAGGTATTGGGTAAAGGAAGGAACAGCATCTTGTGTGAGACGAAGGCGAGGGGATCGATAAAGAGCTGATGTCGGGGCAGAGAAGGAGAGCCTGAGATGGGTAGTAACGGCAAGATGGTCACTATACAGAGCAGACTCGGTGCAGACGGTAGGATGAAAGGAGGTATGACTGTTCAAAAGTAAGCCAACATCAAGGAAACTATGGGGGAGATGAGTAGGATCGTCAGGACAAAGAAAGCGAACATCATTATCCCCATTAAGAAACTGTGAGTTATGTGATTCGTTAAGAGTACATGGCGTGGGATGATACGGAGTAAGAGTGGGATGGCGGGCATTAAAGTCGCCAAGAACAATAGTGGGAACCCCATCATGGAGGTAGTGAAGAACCTGGGGGTCCAGAGAATCACTCCTGAAATGAACATTGACTACACGAAGGGTCCGGTCACCAAGAGTAAGGGAGACAGAAAATAATTCAGACGGGGATCCATGTGAGTCAGGTGAAGGGAGACGAACAGATGGAATGGTGTTACACACAAGGGTGAGGAGGCCACGAGCTTTGCCCACAGTACCGAGGCAGGGTGTAAACAGTATAGCCAGAGAGGCGGAGTGGAGTATCATCGTCTGTGATGGTTTCCTGAAGTAGAGCAACATCTACTTGATGGGAGAGCACAAACTGGGCGAGGTCTGTCCGGCGAGGTCTAAGTCCCTGGATGTTCCATTGTAAGAAGAGGAGGAAACGGCCTCCGGTGTGAGATGAGTCGGTGGGACTAGACGGGGCTCCAGAGGAGGTACCAAATTCTGTTGAGAAAAGTGGAGAGGGGGGAGTGGGAGAGCGAGGGATGGATCCTCCATCTCGGGAGATGGAAGGAGGCGGGTCGTCAGGGCTTGCAAAGTGCGCCCCTGTTGGGTCAGGGTGTCCAGAATGAGTTGTTGTTGCCTCTGTAATGTCGCAATTGTTTCCACAAACAAGTCGAGTTGGGCAGAGACAAGGTTGATTTGTTTGGAGTGGCAATCCAGACAGAGAGTGATTGTTTCCATAGAACCAACTTGGTGTACTTGTGCAAGAGCTGGAGGTGGCAGCGAGGATTGCCGAGGGCCCGACTGGGCATGTGGTGGTGGTAGCAACGGAGAGGGACGGTGAGGGTTCAGGTGAGAAAGATGTGGTGGTGGTGCTGGCGAAGGAAAGCTGGGGTCCGGGTGGGCAGGAGGTGGTGGTGACTGTGTGGCAGGGCCGGCAACGACCTTGTTCCAAGAATGGTAGGGAGAGGGAGGGAGGGGAGTGTAATGGGCCCCTGTCTCATCAACAGAACATATTATATAAATGGGTCAATACATCTGATATTATATTCAGATTCACCACCCTGTAACTTTCCACTGTCTATGAGTCAGACATGACTTGTACACGTGAGAGGGCAACTCTCCCAGGAGGTAGAGACCCATCGTCAGCATATCTGTAAGCCCCGCACAGCGAGGCCCTTACTCGAGTAGTCACTCACAAAAAGTTATATCGTAAGGACGTGACCTAACGTTTATAATACATAAATGGCGTCCCTTTCTCATTCACTCATATACAGTGGAACTTACGGTCGATCTACACTCAGGAATTATAGATACAATCCTTTTATAATAAAACAAGGAACTACAGTTTGGGTTTCGTTACTTAAACCCAAATAATAAATATATGTGAACGGCCTGGTTAATTGTACAAAAGAGCCGATTCATATAGGTGGCAAGCGGTGTGTACGGATTCTTAAACTGGTAGTCGTATCAAACCGTCTGTGTTTTTGGGAAAAACAAAAAACACACAACAGTGACGCGTTACATAATCCGAGTGTTTAAAACTATATCCCGTATCGAGACGATATTTAGTGAGTGCTCCTTATCTCTGTCACATACGAAACGTGCAAAATTCGTAATATACATATATTACAGCCTGTTGGTGAATATCCAGTTTGTGCTGGTTGAAGTAGACCCCACTCAGCATTTTCATGATACAGTGTTGCAGTGTTGAAGAAAGGTTTCATAACTTGGACTAACAATTGATATTTCACAAGTAGCTGAACAGTTTTGTTGTGTCGCCAGCGTTAATTACGAAGTTCCGGTGTCATCATACAGATCTCTATATATACGTAGACTGTGAAGACTTGGCACACGGCAGTTTCGCTAGCGACCTAGCAACGAACAGAGTGATAACCAATCATCAGCAGTTTCTGATCGACTGTGGAGAACCTCCCCTAGTTTGAAGTGGGTTCATCTCTCGCCAAGGTAGAAGCGTCTCTTCGTTGCCAAGGAAACCAAGAGCAGCGCGCGCATCACCAGGAAGAGGCCCGGCCCACCCTCCACACAAGACTCGACTTGGAACTCGGCTTGAAGGATCACATTTTCTATACAGACGTAACACCCTGTATAAATAGGTATTTAAATTACATAATTATACACACATGAACACGTTCGAGAGATATCTTCACACCTATAGGTTCGTCAGATAGGATTATTTCAATGATAAAGTGTCGAATGTAAAATTAATGTATTGAAATTCTATAATTTACAGTGGTTTAGATCTCTGTTTCCTTATTGATAGTTTAATTATTAACTACAATTCATATTCATTTATCTTGTAAATGAGAGGCAAGTAATCTGCTTTAACTGTTAATTATTCATTGACCCACAAGAGACTAATAGATAATTTTCTAAGTTTCACATATCTAGTGTTGATGACATTGCACACCTAGCGCAGCTGTTTGCTTATAACCAACTCGTCGATGATCAAGCACAGACTGACATTGACTTTGAGTCGGGAACACAGTTAGACGATTCGGTAGGAAGTAGTGAGAAAGTAATTGAGGAATCATTTGACGACTTAAACCGCCGTACTTTACGATCTGGTAATAAATATAGTACTTCACCTAAGTATACAAAAACAGTTACCCCTGTTACAGGTGATAGTGTGTCTCTTTCTAAATCAGTAACAACCTTATTAACCCAGCCTTCTGTTAGGATTAAGAATACTAACTTGCTTAATACTAACACTACAATGACTTCTTCTAACCCTCACGCCAGTACTACTACCACACCTAAACCTGATAATATTATTAATATCATGCAGCGTGGAGACTATGTACGAAATTTTACGGGTCAAGATGATTTTAGGGTCGCACATTTCATTCGTGCATGTGAAGATAACATGCGCACTGGTCAAATAACGACTGACGAAGACAAAAAGGCATATGTTCGTTCCCACATTACGCAGGGTTCTTATGCCGGTAGTCGTTTAAATGCTTTTGGTTTGCAGAGCCTTGATTATGAGAAATTTAAGCGAACGTTAATTGGAATCTTTGGGGGTAGGTCACAGCTGGGCCAGCTTCAATGGATCTTCAGATGGATGGATCGTTGTACGCCAGGGATACACAATGAAACGCCTGTCGACGCTGTCGACATCGCAGGCGAGATTTGCCAGGACATGCAAGCGACATTCCGGACCTCAGATTGGTACGACGATCAGGGTAATATGTCAGCGGACAATGTGGAAACGTTGATAGAGCTAATAAGTTTTCTGCTTTCCGTCCGTCGTCCTCTATATAGCCGGGCACAAGAAGTACAGTATGAACCACCCCTGGATATGGTGGAGTACGCAAATAAGCTCTGTCCCCAGGCTACGGGCCCTTTAATGGCAAATTCCTTAATGGCACAGCCCTCAGTGACGTCACCGCAACCCTTGACGTCTATAGTGCAACCCCAGATGCCTCAGATGGCGCACATGTCTCCCTCCCAGACTCCTCATGAGACACACTTAGCTCCGATTGCACCTCCCCGCCTGACTTATAAACAAAAAACATCTTTACGATGCGCACACTGTAATAAACGTGGCCACGTAATGGAAGATTATTTTCAGCTCCGAGGTAATAGTGCAAAATTTAAGGACACACCCGGTGCAAGGCCATTCTCAAGGTCATACAGTGAGGCAGCCAGACCAGCACCTCCTCTTAACCTGAAAGCGCGCAAATGGTGCGCTCTTCACAAATCGACATCTCATACTTCACATGAGTGCGATGTGCTAATAAAGGCTAGGGGTGTGGACATTAGAGAAACAGAGGTGTCGTATAGGCGCAAGCAGAAACGTCCCCAGGACAAGTCGTCGGGGGAAGACAAACGCATACCACACCAAGGAGAGGGATAAATAGGGTAATTCACGCCTCTCCTCACAGCACTTCTATAGCGGCGTCGCTAGTAGCGGCGCTAAGCAAAGTTGAAGTGTTGTCAGTGCCGGTGAGAGTGGATAATACCAGATTGGCTCTTGATATAGACACAGGTGCTTGCGCTAATGTATTGGCCTTGGGCCAGATACTCAAAACACCTCATAAGTTACGTTTTTCAGCATGATACAGTACCATATATTGCGGAAGCCTTACAGTACCATAAATTTAGCATACTCAAAATTTAATTATGGTTCCGTAAGACTACCATAAGTTCTCGTAACTCTAGTGTTTACCCTGTAAATCAAGTTCTCTTGTCGGACGGTAGATGTCAGTGCAGATGCTAGTTGGCCAATCAACGCTCAGTTAACAAAATCATCAACCAATCACAAGAGAAGGAGAAATCATCTGAGAGCGACGCACGTAATATTATTGTGTAAACATGGAAGGACCACCAGCCAAGAAGAGACGACCTAATTTCAGTGAGGCTGAAGTATACGCTCTTGTGACTGAGGTAGCCAAACGAAAAGAAATGATTTTAGGGAAGTTGGACTCAAGTAGATGTACACTTCAACTCAAAAACCATGCCTGGGGTGAAGTGTTAAATGCGGTGAATGCTGTTGGTAGAGTCACCCGCAATGTTACTGAAATTCGGCGGAAGTTTTCTGATCTTCGTGTTAGCGTTAAGAAAAAAGCAGCACAAGATAAGAAATATGCTGGTGGAACAGGTAAGTCATAATATTGTTAGCGTGGTTATTGATTGATAATATGAAACAAACTTAACTATGGTTTTTCTGAGGCTTGGTACGATTTTACGTGTTTGTAAACTCAAGGAAGTAAGTAGTGTGGTGGCTCTCCATCGTGAATGAATACACATATTTTCCTTATATGAGCACATTCATTAAAAGAAACATCGTTCTTCGAAGTTTTCCGTGTGAGTAAATAGTAAAAACTTTACCGTTCAACCTAAATTTTTTTTTCTTTTTACGTGGATTAACCAACCCAGGCACAGTCACTGACCCACGTCGGGGCCTGTAATAATAATTCTTTAGTACTATTAATAAAAATACCTCTTTATTAATAATAATATTAATAATAAATAACCATAAATACCGAAATGAAAACACAAAAAGTGAGAATCAATATACAGTATGTATGTTGTGTTGTCGATATTACGAGAAACAATTGCGACCCTGCAATTGTGTGTAAATGACACATTTAGTCAGATCAGCAACCTTAGACTTGCTCCTAATTTTCGTGATGCCATATGGCAGCAGGGTCTACCATTAGAGTACACATTATGCTTCCAATATCTTCCCACCCGGTAGTCAGGCAAGTCTGTACTACTGTTAATAATTTCCCCACAACTTTTGGATTTTCTTATTATACCTATCATATAGATTACACAATTTTAAGACACACTTGTCATTGTGTCGCAACTGACGTGGAACAGCAGAGATAGTTAATATGAGTTTGTGTGGCAGGGCGGCGGAGGCCTCCCGTTGGTAAAGGAAGCTAGGTTAGGTAGGTTTGGTTACTGTTATAAACTACATATTAATAATTACGTTATTTCCGACGGTAATGAAGGTCATAATGTATAAGTTGCCATAGAATTCCTTTTTTTATGTCGTTAATTTTCATTCATCAATAGATTTATATTCATATTTGGTATACATTAATATGTAAATTTTACTTTGTTAGGCTTATGAGTTTGCAACTAATACAGGTTGAAAATTTCTGGCTGCGACTATTTTTTTTGACTTATTTTACCATTTATTGTTTGTTACCTTAAATCTAATTAACTTTTGACATAGATAAAGGAGAATTTTTGTGGCTACAGCTACAATGATAGGTTAGGTTATAATGTTGGAACTATTTCAGTAGATTCCTTTGTAACTATGATTTCTGCCAAATATAACATAGTTAGCGTATAGTGTATGTAACCACAGCTCACAGTAAGACAGTTATTATTTATATTTTCTCTTCAAGGTGGCGGCCCCCAAATTGAAATTACATACACTGCAATTGAAGAAGCAATTCTTCAACTATTAGATCCAGCCTCTATACATGGGATTCCAGGGGATTTTGAAAGTGAAGAACCTATTAATGGTAATTCAGTCAAAATATTTTTCCAACCCCCTGATATATTTTGTTCTTTTCTGTCCTTGTTTTTATTTAAAAAATACTTTTGGAGACATTTTTTCACATCTTGATTTGGAAATACTGTACAGTATACTGATTTTTTATATAATTTTGAAAAATAACAACACTAGTAAGTTGGTTTCATTTCTAGCTTGTTTATTGCTTCCCTAAGTTATATATTAAATGTTGTTATAACTCGTATGTTAATGGACAAAATTGAGAAGTGCAAATATAAGAAATTTAACGCCTAGTTGATATTTAGATTTAAAAATATTTTAAACAAATATATTTAGATGGTCAACACTATTTTTCAAACCATTATTTTTCCTAAAAGCTTTTGTATATTTGGAAATACAGTGTAATATTTTAATTTTACTCTTAACATAGACTTCAATCAACCTATTATACTACATTTCTTTCCAGAAGAAGAAAGAGAACCAACCCCCGGACCCTCAGGAGCTAGGTTTACAGCTACCGGTAGTTGTTTCCGAGAGGAATTTATGTTTCGGCCCGTTCAAGAGAAAGATGATTTTATAACCTGCATTCTGAATGAGGATATACAGGAACATGATATCACAGTACCCATTGTGCATTTAGAACCTGAAACTTCAGCACCTACAAACATTCCTGGATTTTCATCATCCGGAACATATGTGGTAGAAACATGTAGTTCAAGCAATACTCGTCAACCTATTGCTGCTACCACGGAACAGCGAAGTAGGTCTAGTACCCCTTCTGCCACAGCTGTTAGGTCAACTGTAATTGGTGATTCCACTGATGAAATGGGTTCACCTCCAATGCCAAGTACCAGCAGAAGTGGCAGGAGGCCACGAACCTCTTCTGCCCGAAAAGATGAAGATCTTCTTCGAGAGATGCTTCGTGTTCAAACACAAATGAGTGACAGTTTTTTACAGCTTGTAGCTAACACCGAGTGCATTGCATCTGCAATGCTATGCATTGCAAGAGTTATGCAGTCGAAAAATCCTATCCAATGATACTGTGTTTATGGTATGTGTATATGTAGTTGTTTACTTAGGTAAGTCCTTTACTTTTGGTAAATGTGATAATAGCGTAGTTGAAAAGTCATCAAACATTTATTGTAAATTTTCCTTTGAGTGATTGTTATGAAGGAAGACGGCATGTTAAAAAATTGTGTAACTTTCACTTGCAGCCTATACTAGTCATGAAAATGTAACAGGAATATTTAGCTCTCCATAAGTTCATTAAAATCACGAAGTTAAGTGAAAGACACACATTTGTCAACTTATAACATGTGTTGCATTGCTACTACGGGTAATGTTTACCCAGGTTTTGGGTAAAAGTTCCTACCACACTCAAAATTATATGTTTGAAAAGAGGCTCATGTACTTATTTTTATTTTTTAAAGGTTCCTTTATTTTGTAAGACGTAGTCAATTTCCAGTTCAACGAGTTTTATTTGTTAGTTTGTAGTTTGCGAAGTATGATTCAAGTAGGTTTAAACAGAAATAATGGTGCAAATTCACCAACAGCCTACTGTAATCGCTGCTATTTAACACACATTAGTCTCCAAAGCGCAAGTTGTTGCATTGGTTCTATCATAAGGATGTGCTGTCTCATGTTACATTTTATAGCTTAACAAGCAAAGAGTATTCTATTTTTTTCTTTATTACTTACAGTAGTACAGTATTGGGTTATAAGTTTCTTTTAATTTACGGGTATTGATGCAGGTAATTCTAGACATATGAAAATTATACTGTATTCCATTCTTAAATCTAAAAAATGGCAACAAATAACAGTAGTTGTATTATTATTTCACAACGATGTGGTGACCCATGTCAAATTGTGTAGTTTAAGATGCTAACAGTGGCAATATTTTTTTATTGTTAAAATTTCTAAAATATGTTTTATATAAGGATTTTTTGTTTCACAAACTTTAGTGCCTTTGGTATTTAGTAGTATTAAAAGTATACTGTATTGGAATCAAATTTGTTCAAGGATATAGTACATATATTATTAAGGTAAGAGAAAGCCATTTAATTTCTATAAAGAAGTTTATTTTATTATGTACAGTATATTGAAAATAAAAGTTAAATCAATGTACGCTTTATTCGCATTACCTCTGTATACTGCACTAAAAAATACTATTTAAACATAGAGGAAAAATGTATTGGTGAATTGATATTTGATTTTAATTCATCAAGTAAACCAATTATGGACTACATTGGCTCTGACTGCTTGGCCTGTCCCTGCTACAGCTTCAGCTGGATTGTCAATCTCTCCATCATCGTCGACCATGTCGTGGGGAAGTGGTACCCTTCTCATTAAACAATAATTGTGAAGAAGGAAACATGCATTTACAATTTTGGCTCATTTGGAAGGATCGTATTGAAGTGATCCACCAGAAC